CGTCGACTGATAGCGGGGGCACGGGACTCCCAATCGCCATCGCTGTTGGCACAGCCATACGTGGAAACGGGTTTCCAAAAGGCACGGCCCCGTGGCTGGAGTCCTGGGACGAAGCGAATTCATCGGGCATCAACACGGTTGCAGGATCAGGCTTTTTTAAGTGCTCGGAGGTTGCTGATGATGGCACGTCATGGGGCTCAACTACAGGTGTCCTAATAGCATGTTGCTCTAAAGCCATTTCAATGTGTCTCCGAAGCCCGGAAACCTCGTGTTTAAGGAGCTTGGCGCGATCGTAGTCCTCATCTCGGACTGCCACGCGTTTTGATATCTCCAGCTGTGCCAGCTGCCCGCCAAGGGCCTGTAGTTCCTGTTCTGCCGCTTTGATTCGCTTCGCTGCATCGTAGTCTTCAGCCTCGATTGCTGTCTGCTTAGCTATAAGCAGCGATCGTATAAGCCGGCCCGCGCGAGGATCAACCTTAGGATCAACCATAAAATGACATCGAAAAACTTAGTAGTACACTCGTGCGTATTACATTCATGTCAAACGCAAGATCATCGACGCGTTCGCGGCGTGGTAACGAACTACTCGGTTTCTCTGGGTTGCGCTCATTAGCTGAATTGATTGAATTCTTGACATACTCTCCAAGGACCTGCGCCTCAATTTTATCAGGAGTTTCACAGATGATGACACGCAAATTGCGTTCAATGCAACAATACCAATCTGGTTGAATAAATTTGCCTGATTCACATGGCAACAATGCATCACAAATTTTAAATATCTACCCTTTGCATCAACATACACAGACTTCAGCTCACGAGCCTGGTGCCTAAAAATGCAATATTCGAACAGAACTAATGAGGATACACTGGAGATCACTGGCTCCGCTCGTTGGGATCGAGGGACATATAACCAAGTCTCGTCCATAGGCTGGGTTCTGTACCACAAGTGCCAGAACCAACAAAAAGTTCCACGCGAGTGGCCTAGAGCCCGCGTAAATCAAAGCAGGGATCTGCAATTAACGCTGCTAGCGTATCACTATTTTGTTTTGGTGACTGAGCAATTGGATTTGGGAAATGATCGCGTCTTGCGCCAATTCTATGACAACATGCTGTGGGTACCTAAGCTTAGTTTTATGCACTATCGTACCACGTTGCCCGACATACTCGCAGAAGCGCGGAGTTTGCCACCCTCGGGTGTGTGGTGTGTGTACGTTGA